AGATGGAGAGAGTGAACTCCAATCTGTGGAACAATCAGCCTGGGAAGATATATCAGAGATCCGGAGGTCCCCTTAAAGGTGGTATGATTATCAGCCAGACTCCAAAAGCTCCGTCCCTCTGGTGGTGATAGGTGAGCACTACAGGGATCCTGCAAATGGATTTAGCTCCCAATAGGAACCAAAAAACAGGTGCCCATAGTGTAGTATTTTAAAATAGATTTATTAGATAAAACTAAAATGACAAACAGGGTAGTAAGGCTGTGTACAGTACATGTATTAAAGCAGAGTACGCAGCAAAGGTACTGACCCTAAATTAAAATGGCCGCGGGGCTGTCTCGTGGCTCCGGGCAGAAGATGACGTCATGCTCTGTCGGTTCCTCCTAAGGCCTTTCGTGCCCAAGCACATCATCAGAGGGGATACCAACCAGAGCATGACAGACGTCCATCTGATTTATTCCGAATAGCGGCACTCGCGCATGCGCAGTACGGCGCCGCCATTTTGCCGAAGTTCATGGAGTGCGCATGCCGTCTGTGTGGGTCTTTACTACAAGTTCATTCAAAGGAGGACATGGCTTGTGTTGGGTTAGCAACCATTGCGTAAGGGTCGTAGAAGTGTTTCAATTGCAAGTAGCGGAATATTTCTGAAGGTGGAAGTGCATGAGTTTCACGTAATGAGTCAAAGGACCGGAGTTTATTCCTGAGCATGAAGTGATGAGCTTGAGTGAGATCCGCCAAAAGCCAGCGGTTTAAAGGAGTGCGGGGAGGGCCAAGCCGGAGGAAAGGCAGGATTTCGGATATAGGAGAGGATTATGTGGTGACTGCAGATGATACCGGGATTTCAGCTTATCCCAAAGATGCAAAAAAATGTAAGGTGATAGGGTTAGTAATCAGACGGCGATTTATAGGTCTTAGCCAGAGAAGATTAGCTATGGATAAGGGATCACAATCAATCAATTCCAGGAAAACCCATTGTGGAGTTTCGTAAGTTGCATGATATTTCGGCAGTTGTGCTATATGGGCCGCCTGGTAATACTTGCTGACGTCTGGAAGACCAAGACCGCCATTAGACTTGGGAAGAAAGAGGGTAGAGCGAGGGACACGTGGACGGGTCCCACCCCAGACAAAGGAGAAAATGCGGCACTGTAAGGTGCGCAGATAATGGGCGGGCACTGGAACTGGAAGAACTATAAACAGGTATAGTACCTTGGGGAGGATGGACATTTTCACGACTGCTATTCTGCCTAACCATGCCAGTGGGAGGGAGGACCATTTGGACATGAGTGTAGTAAGTTGAGCTAAGATTGGGATGTAGTTGGCGGCATAAAGATCGGAAACGTTCGGGGTAAGTTTTTTATACCTAAGAAGGGGATGGATCCTTGTGACCATGAGAGCGGAAGGATCTGTTTTAGTTGGGTCAAATCATCGGGGGATAATGAAATATTAAGGGCCAGTGACTTCCGGGGATTTATAAGGAGGCCCGAAAGAGAACCGAACCTTTCGAGCAGGTGGAGAAGAGTAGGAGTAGAGGTCAAGGGGGAGGTTAGAAAATGTAGCACGTCATCCGCGAATACACATAGTTTGTGGCAGGTACCCCCCGATCTCAATACCATGGACATCGGAAACTGGCCCTTATCAGAAGCGCCAGAGGCTCTATAGCTAACGCGAATAGTAGGGGGGACAGTGGGCAACCCTGTCTAGTGCCTCGTGATATGGGAAACCTGGCTGACCGATGCCCTAAGTATTTGGTTCTGGCCGAAGATTCTTGATAAAGAGAGAATATCCATGTTAGGAAATGGGGGCCAAATCCCCAGCGGTGCAGGATATACTGTAAATATGGCCAGGAGACTGTGTCGAAGGCCTTGCGAATGTCTAGAGACAGAATTTGGGGGCAAGGATTTGTGTTAGTAGGGATGATGGGGAGGGGGGGAGTGTTTGTGCTAGGGGGGAAATTTGGGCGGGGAGGATTTGTGCAGGAGGGGGAATTTAGAGGATGACAGGGGTAAGCTTTGTTCTTGGAGAGGATATTTGGGGGGATGATTTGGGGGGTTTGTGTTGGTGGGATGGAGGGAGAGGATTTGTGCTGGGGGGCAGGATTTGTCCTGGTAGGAATGATTGGTGGATATTTGTGCTAGGAAGGGAAATTTGGAGGGAAGGATTTATGGTGGGAGGGGGGGGATATGGGGGAGGAGGATAATAAGTCATTAGTAAAACCTCATCTGGAATATGCAGTTCAATTTTGGGCACCAGTTCACAAAAAGAACATTTGCATATACCCGTGGCCATTTTCCTGTAGTGCAGTGGGATAGACATCCAGATATGCCACACCACTACTAACACCAGGGAAATACAAATTAAAAACCACTTAAATCACCACTTCTAGCACATCTCCCAAATTCCCCTTCCTAGCACAAATCCTCTTTCCCCCATCCCAAACCCCCAAATCACCCCTCCCAGCACCCCCCCCCCCCCATGCTTCCCCTTCTGGAACAAATCCTCACAATACTTCCCCTCCTGGAACCAATCCTCACTAAATGTCTCCTCCTGAATCCTAATAATATATATTATAATTACTTGCGAGCCACTGAGGTATGAGATAGCAAGTAAATATATAGGTCAGCAGGCATCTATTCACATCCTCATATAAATGTGTTTTGTAGTAATATACAGTAAATTGATAGATTATTGCCGCGCCCTAAATATGAGATATGAATACTTCCAGAAATAATGAACAATCCAAGTCAACGTATTACAACTTCAAAATCACATCCCCTGGACGAAGCCACGTGTCCCTGTGGCGCAACGCGTTGGGGAGGGGGCTTTGATGTCACCACAGCAACCCGACTTCACGGTGAGTATAGTCTATGGGAGAGAGTATGAGCAGCTACGCAGGAGACCTGTCACAAACGCATTTAGCGGTTTCACTAATTTTAACTCAGCGCTTTTTATACTGAATACTTGTGAGTGCATAAGAAGTTGTGAATAAAATTGTTCTTTTAAAAAACGATAAGGCACTATGTACCTTTTTCTTTTCCACTATACTAACAAAGAATAATACAAGGAGATGGAGCACTTTTTATTGCCATGAGAAAAAGCTAACCCACAGACCCACAATCATCCACTATCAATCATCAGGAGTATCCAAGGGAGTCTCTAAAGATATCCATCAAGGATAAACATCATAAAGCTGTGTTAGCCCAGCAGTGGGCTTAATGGAAGGTGAGCGCATATAAGTATCTATATTCCAGCAAGAATGCATCTGCAATCTTGTTTGACTAATCAACTTTAATCGAATTTATATAGACTTTTTTTTGACACCATTCATTTTTATTATTTAAATTACTTATGATATTTTTTTCAAGTTTTTTGTTTTTTTTCACATTCTATTATTGATTTATTTTGAAGTTGTAATAAGTTGACTTGGATTGTTCATTATTTCTGGAAGTATTCACAATCCTGAATCCTGCACTCTGTACATAGAGCACTCCTGAGCCCTGTATTCTGTACGTAGAGCACTCCTGAACCCTGCACTCTGTACCCTGCGCTCTGAACCCAGCACTCTGTACGTAGCACACTTCTAAACCCTGCACTCTGTACATAGAGCACTCCTAAACCTGGACCCTGCACTGAGTATGTAGGGCACTTCTGAACCCTGCACTCTGTAAGTATCGCACTTCTGAACCCTCTACTCTATACATAAAGCACTCCTGAATCCTGCACTCTGTACATAGAACACTTCTTAACTCTGTACTCTGTATGCAGCTCACTCCTGAACCCTGCACTCTGTACGTAGTGCACTTCTGAGCCCTATACTCTGTACGTAAAAAACTCCTGAACCCTGTACTCTGTACATAGTGCACATCTGAGTGCAAGGAACTGTGGAACACATTGATATACCATAATCCCTCTCAGTGGAGGCTGTTGAGACAACTTGAGGTATAGAAATCCCAGATGAGGAGCAAGGAGAAGCCTGCACTTTTTTATGATGTGGGTCTTTCAGGTGCTGTTGCTAGGCAGGTCGTCATACGTCTTGTCAAGCATGTGGTGCCCAGGCGGCTGGTGTTTTGGCCACACTTGATCTGCTTCAGACAGGGACTGCAAACAGCAATGCTGTGGTCTCCTGCACGTGTTGAAAAAGGCCCACACCAATGAACTTTTGGAAGTCAGCAGGGAGTCAGCAGCTCCCTGCACCTGTGGAGCTCAGTTGTGTGATTCAATTGGGTGGCTGCCCTTACGCCTGCCCATGGTGGATATCCTGCCTCGTTGGAGTTGTGCCTCCTGCTCACTTTCCTCCTCTGTTCTCTCCGGCACCCAAGTACAGTCAGTGACCTCATCATCCCCTCCCTCCTCGTCACTGGAGCGGTGATTTTTATAACAGTTTATTGTGTGGGATGGGAATTTGGTGCCTGGGTGCAATACTTTTGTGCTTGGTGCACTATAAACCATTTTATTGTTGTTTTTTTAAATAAAGAAAATAGGGGGTACAGCAACTATGGAAAAAAAAATTTCTTTACTGCTGCAAAAAAAATAAAATAAAATAAATGTAAAAAAATTAAGAAAGCACTGTGCTTTCAATCATGGCTCTCACAGTACATTGTGCAGTGATTGGCCAAAGCATTGCACCTGACCTATGGTAAGGTGCATTGGTTTGGCCGATCGCAATGGCAGAAGATCGACTCAAACATCAAGCCCATCACTAGCTGACATAAAAAAAAAGAGAGACTTTTTATGTGCCTCATCCAAAATATATAAGAAAAAACAGTTAGAAGCTGGATAACAATAACTAGCCTACCTCAAACACCAGACTATGTAAATACAGCATAAGAGACCAGTCAAAATTTCATAAAACATCAATTTTATTATACAATTTTTTAACCACCTCCCGCCCGCCATATAGTAAAATGACAGGCGCAAGGTGGTTCTCTCGTTCTGGGAGGACATCATATGACGTCCTCTCATTCTCACCACGCATGCGTGGCTCAGGGAGCGCACGGCGATCGGCGGTGCACTGTGTCCCTCGGACACAGCGGATCACCGGTCCACAGAAAGAGCCAAAGATGTCGGCTCGGTCATGTGATCTGCTGTGTCCAATCACAGCTGTTCACATGTAAATAGGGAAATGCTGGTTAATCGGCATTCCGCGGAGGGGACATGTACACTGATCATCAGAGCACTGATGATCAGTGTGCCCTGATGATCAGTGTAGCCCCAGCAGTGCCACCTGTCAGTGTCCATCAGTGCCAGCTGTCAGTGCTCATCAGTGCCACGTGCCAGTGCCCATCAGTGCCACATCAATGCCACATATCAGTGCAAACCAGTGCACATCAATGCCACATATCAGTGCCCATCTGAGCTGCCTTTCAGTGTCACCCATCAGTGCCAGTCAGTGCAACCTATCAATGCCAATCAGTGCCACCTATCAGTGCCAGTCAGTGCCACCTATCAGTGCCAGTCAGTGCTGCCTATCAGTGCTGCCTATCAGTGCCATATATCAGTACCCATCAGTGATGCCTGTCAATGCCCATCAGTGCCACCTACCAGTGCCTCCTCATCAGTGCCCATCAGTGCCACCTATCAGTGTCCATCAGTGCAACCTATCAGTGCTCTTCACTGCAGCCTCATTAGCGCACATCAGTGAAGGAGAAAAATCTTATAACAAAAACTAAGAAAAAAACATCGTTTTTTTTTTCAAAATTTTCAGTGGTTTTTGGTTTGTTTAAGAATTAAATACCACCAAAATAAAGCTCTATCTGTCACAAAAAAAAATTATAAAAATTTCATTTGGGTACAGTGTTGCATGACCGCGCAATTGTCATACGAAGTGCGACAGCGCTGAAAGCTGGAAATTGGCCTGGGCAGGAAGGGGGTATAAGTGCCCTGTAGGCTTGTGGTTAAAAAAGGGATACAAATGACATACAGTAGAGCTCCCCCTTTAAAATGAGGACAGAGGCCCTCAATATATATCTGAATATCTCTGGAAGCTGACTCAACGAAGTGTATTGACTAGAATGGTGACAGTCCAATATGGATAAAGTTTATTCTTCCAGTGCATGAAGTTCAACATGTTTTGCCAATATTTGGCTTCTTCAGGACCCAGATAAATGATGAAGACAAAACTATAAAATGTTAGTCATCAAAGTTACAAAACTAATAAACAATAGCACAGTATACAGAGAATGCATGTTTACATAGGCTGAGCTATTATGCAGGGCACTAACTCAGCTGTTTCAGCATCAGGGACCCAACAACCCCACCAAGGACAAAGGGAGGTGGCCAGGACAGAAATCTAAATGTTCACTGTAAACACATAAAAAAATATGTAGCACAATGACCTGTAATAGCATAGGAGGGTGCTAGAGAGTGTGAAGAAATATATAAACTGTATACGGACCGTATACTTTTCTAGTGCAAATTATCCTTTAAAAAACATGAAAAATTGTAAATATTAACATTAAATCTACTGACATGTAAACCAATGTACTGTAGCTCTGCCCTTTGCATTACGTCTTAGGTGAATTCTTCAGGATTTAGAGATGCACAGCACTGAGGGAAGCAGTGCCTGAGGCTGGCCATACATGGTAGGTTCAGCAAATTTCGATCCATGTGTGGCCACTGCAGTGTCAGGGTTTGCTGATATTAAAATATCATAAATAATATGATTTCCTAATTAAAAATGACGGATTTCAAACAAACCCAATGTCATATTCACATGAATATTTACCTATCCCAGTAGAAACATGAAGTGTTTGTTCTGCAAGTGAAATTGTGTACAGATAAATTAAACCCATAGGCACTCCAAGCTGAGAAACAAATGGTGTACTGTTCAATGTTCAACAACTAGGATTGGAAACCATCCGTAAATTCACAGTTTGCAAACTCGGTTATTTTTACAACTGTCCGTAAATGTCTGTTACGGACATTTCTTTTGTGCATAAAAATCAGGGCATTCTTTCAGGCACTTTTCAGTACTGGCACCTCCACCCAGTGCTGGGACAAGGTCCGACAGCGCCCAAAGCGTAGATGCCAAACTGCGCCCTCCCCCCAAGACGTATAAACATCATGTGACAGCAAAAAAAAAATCCAGCACTAATCGCCACACTTAGCCCCTAAGCATAAATACCCTTCTCAAGCAAAGATTCTCCCCAAACTAAAATTCCCTCTAATCACCCCCTTTTGAAATTCCCCTCCCAGCACAAATCCTTCCCCCATCCCCCCTCTCGGCTTAAATCCTCTTCCCAAATTCTCCTGCTAGCACGACTCCCCGCCCCCAAACAGCACCCTCTTAACACACATCCTTAACCCCTCAAATTTCCCCTCCAGGCACAAATCTTCCACCTCTCTATATCCTCATAGTTACATAGTTAGTCTGGATGAAAAAAAACAAAACTCCAACCAATTCAACCATTAAAAAAAAAAAAAGTTATAATCCTACACCCACAGTTGATCCAGAGGAAGGTAATAACCCCAGCAAAACATGATCCAATTTGCACATGCAGGGGAAAAAATTCATTAAGTGTAATAGTTCCTCCTGCGCTAAATTAACTCAACCTAAAAACAGCTGCTAGCACCCCAACCCTTTACTTTAAAAGATTAAATATCATAAATAGTGTACATATGGTGCAGCACTAATGAATGAATACACATAATATAATAATACAATATTAAAAAAATAAAATCTATAAACTCTCAAAAGGGATCCAAAATAAAGTGTAAATAAATATAAAGTACAATTGTGTGAATATCTGAAAAATGGGTCACAAATCCAGACCCTATATGCCGTGAAAAAACAAAAAAACCCAATCCCAAATTGGAATAATACACACCAAATGTGTCAGCAAAGTGAATGCCATAAACTGGGATAATATTAAAGTGACAAGTGCCAAATCACAATATACAAAGTGTATACACGATACACTTGGCTTTGAAAAATGCAAAGCCAATAAATATATAGTGAACCAAACAAATATTGAATGCAGTGAGAAAACAATTATGGTGAAAAACTAATCATAACAAAGCAGCAAAAAGTCCTTATGAGTCCAATAATAGTGCTGTAGGAATCGTCCACACTAAAAAGACAGTGCTCCACTCTCAACAGGGAACTGGTGCCGTGTAGTGTACACTCCAAAGCAATCCAAAAATGGCTGAAATGCCCGCTCACCTTCAATAAGTGACCCTACGGGTCATCACGCTTTTGGATCACACCCGGATCCTACGATATAGATCTCCTTACTGGCCGACCTCCATATACACAGGGTTCCAATAGCACCAAGTAAGTAATCCCCTTCCTGGATCGATAGGCAGGTGACCTTGCTAACTCCAGCTTACTCACAGAAACTCTGCCCAGCTCTCAGTTAAAACATGCCCATAAAAGAAGAAAAAATACTTCCATAGTACATAATTGTTTAATGCAAGTAATCAGACCAAAAAACACCAATAGATACACTCACATTTCTCCAAGCACAGAAAGGTTTCTTCACAGTAAGAGCTGTGAAAATGTGGAAAAGACTCCCTCAAGAGTTGGTCCTGGCCAGCTCAGTGGATTGCTTTAAAAAAGGCCTGGATTCTTTCTTGGATACAGAGAATATACAGTGAAGGAAATAAGTATTTGATCCCCTGCTGATTTTGAATGTTTGCTCACTCACAAAGAAATGATCAGTCTAAAAAATCGAATGGTAGGTGTATTGTAACACTGAGAGACAGAATAGCAACAAAAAATTCAAAATAAATGGATGTCTAACAAATTATGCACTGATTTGCATGTTCATGAGGGAAATAAGTATTTGATCCCCTTCACAAAACATGACTTAGTACTTGGTGATCATTGACACTCCACGAGGTGAGATCTTGCATGGTGCACCAGACCGAGGGAGACTGACAGTTGTTTTGTGTTTCTTCCATTTGCGAATGATTGCACCAACTGTTGTCACCTTCTTAACAAGCTGCTTGGCGATAGTTTTGTAGCCCAGTCCAGCCTTGTGCAGGTCTACAATTTTGTCCCTGACATCCTTGGACAGCTCTTTGGTCTTTGCCATGGTGGAGAGTTTGGAATCTGATTGAGTGCTCCTGTGGACAGGTGTCTTTTATACAGGTTACACAATGAGATTAGCAGCACTTCCTTTAAGAGACTGCTTCTAATCTCAGCTTGTTACATGTATGGTAGCCACCTGGTAGCCAAAAAATCCTGCTGAATGATAGGGGATCAAATACTTATTTCCCTCATGAACATGCAAATCAGTGCATAATTTATTAGACATGCATTTCTTTTGAATTTGTTGTTGCTATTCTGTCTCTCAGTGTTACAATACACCTACAATTCGATTTTTAGACTGATCATTTTGTTGTCAGTGGGCAAACATTCAAAATCAGCAGGGGATCAAACACTTATTTCCTTCACTGTAACTGGATACTAACATTTATAGGTAACATGGAAAGGTTTCTTCACAGTGAGAGCTGTGAAAATGTGGAATAGACTCCCTCAAGAGTTGGTTCTGGCCAGCTCAGTGGATTGCTTTAAGAAAGGCCTGGATTCTTTCTTGGATACACAGAATATAACTGGATACTAACATTTATAGGTAAAGTTGATCCAGGGAATATCCGATTGCCTCTCGGGGGATCAGGAAGGAATTTTTTCCCTGCAGGAAATTGGATCATGCTTTGCTGGGTTTGCTGCCTTCCTCTGGATCAACTGTGGGTATAGGATTATAACTTTTTTTTTCTTTGTATTAATGGTTGAACTGGATGGACTTTTGTCTTTTTGGGAAGAAGATTTAAGCCGAGGGGGGGATGGGGGAAAAGGATTTGTGCTGGGAGGGGAATTTTCTAAAGAGAGTGATTTGTACTTGGGAGAGGGGGAATTTTGGTTTGGGGAGAATCTTTGCTTGTGAAGGGTATATATGCTTAGGGGCTAATTGTGGCGATTAGTGCTGGATTTTTGGAGGAGGGGATTTTTGCTGTCACGTGATGCTCATACATCTTTGGGGGGTGCAGTTTGGTATCTTCGCCCTGGGCGCTGATTGACTTTGTCCTAGCACTGGATACAGGTGCCAGTACTGAAAAGTGCTTGAAAGAATACCCTGATTTTTATGGACAAAAGAAATGTCCGTAACAGACATTTACAGACAGTTGTAAAAATCACTGATTTTTACAAACTGTCCGTGAATTTACGGATTGTTTCCAATCCTAGTTGTTGAACATTGAACAGTACACCGTTTGTTTCTCAGCTTGGAGTGCCTATGGGTTTAATTTATCTGTACACAACTTCACTTGCAGAACAAACACTTCATGTTTCTACTGGGATTGGTAAATATTCATGTGAATATGACATTGGGTTTGTTTGAAATCCGTCATTTTTAATTAGGAAATCATATTATTTATGATATTTTAATATCAGCAAACCCTGACACTGTAGTGGCCACACATGAATCAAAATTTGCTGAACCTACCATGTATGGCCAGCTTCAGGCTTCCCTCAGTGCTGTGCATCTCTAAATCCTGAAGCATTCACCTAAGACGTAATGCATAGGGCAGAGCTACAGTACATTGGTTTACATGTCAG